AAATAACATTTATTTAAGTCGAATGTTTGTCAACAAGAGTACAAGATTTTAATTAGCCATTTTTGAAACACACTTACTCGTCCTCTTCAACTACGTGTCCAAATTTAATTAAGTCAGATTCATCTCGGATTTGTTGATACTTGTCTCGGTTGTCTTTTACTGTTATTTTTCCGTTGGATGACCTCGCACTCTGTAGCAGGTTTTTTCTACATAGCTGTCTGCAGAGATATAGCAGTCTGTCACGGAACTTGGTGAGGTCTTCATTGACATCAATTCATTCAGAATAATGGTATTATAAGTGTAAACATGTTGTATTTAAAGGGAAATACATTTATCATGAATACTTTGCTATTGATGAAGAACAATAAATAATCATTCTAATGATTTCCATAATCTTACAGTCAAGAATCCAATCTTTTTCAATCATTTTTTAACATTCATTTTCATTTTGTCTACTCTTGTAAGAAAGAAGTATATATTGTAAATTGACCCTGAAGAATTTCAGTTAGTTTTAGTTCATCCGTTTGAAATAGAAATTTCCTTTCAAAAATATTTGCGTATTTTCAAGTGGTAAAATCTATGCAAAAATGCTAAAATATGATTAAATACCTAATAGTATTTCAGTAACACCTGCATTTATTGGTTAAAACGCTTTAATTATAGGTTATCACATTTTATATTGAACCTAAGTAAAATATAAACTTATTGTCTACCTCTATTTTGGTACATTTCGTTCTGTCTTTTAAATGCAGAATTACAATCTATGGCAATCTATTGTCTACCTTTATTTTGGTACATTTCATTCTATTTTTTAAATGCAGAATTACAATCTATGGCAGAATTGTACGGGTAAAGACTCAAGGTCAATGCGATTTTACCATTTTAACCTCACGAATCCTTGTTATTTCTCTTTGTTTTCGTTTCGAACTCTCTTTGTTCATTTGTTGTTTTCGTTTTAAACTTTGTAAATATTCCAAATTATTGATATTCTAAATTATCATTTTACATTGTGGAAATATTATTTAACATCAATTGAAATCAATTCTTATAAAGTTCTGTGGACAACAACTCTTACCAAGCATTGTTGCCATAATTTTAAGGCAACGGAAAACGCACTTATAAACCCAATAAAAGATGGTCAGGGGAATGGTTTGCAAAGGCAATGATAAGATTTTCAGCATAACAAGATTGTATTTTAGATACCTATGATAGAAAGAGTGTCGTCTATCTGTAACAAATGTAACTGAGCACACCAGGATGCAACTTGTTTTTCAATCTGTTCCCATGTTGTTGTTTTTTTCTATTATTATTTCTATAAATTTATATCCTTGATAAAGTTTTCTTTAGATGCGGAAGGAACTTCAATACACCACGTTATACTCGGCTATTTTTTTCCCTATCACATTCTGATGTTTAGTCAAAATTCTGCTGAAAATTCAAATTTCCAAATTCCAATGAGCACATTTTTTTTCTGAATACTGACAAGGACGAAAATATGTCATTGATAAATGAAAGGATACTTTAATTTTGGAACACTATATTTACAATACAGCCTTGAATTAGAGTGCGTATGCGTGTCTTCTGACTGAACCCACACAATCGACTGATTCAAAGTATTAGTTTTAGTAATGTTTTGATTTAGTTGTAACAGTTATATTTACAAAAGTCAAGTTATTGCTATAATAAGAAATGTCTCCAAAATTCACTCATGATTCGTACCTAAAATTTCGATTCCTGCCAATCTACCATAGGCCCTTCGGGAAATTTGAAACTCAAGTGCACAACTATCATTGCTGAAATTTTCACATCTCTATCTTTGTCCATTTTTGAGTGTTTGTGCAGACAAAATGTCATCTGAAAATCAATAAAAGGGAATTTACTTCCGACAGAAAGTGAATTTCCTTAAACTGTAATGCTTGTACAAAGAACATCGTACGGTTTCAATACAAATCTGGTCCTTTATTTTTCTAAAATATGAAAGAAATGTGATGAATTAAAACTCATACCTGTACTTTCTTAATTGTTGAAATATCATGCAGTAAGAATATACAAATCGTTTTTCTTATATGAACTCTTAAATGTTAATTGTGACGACATGAACTTTTGCATTCTCCCGTATTTTCTTATAAGCTGCAGAAAAATCAATTTTCATTGGAATTTTTCATTCAGATAGTATAGAGTATATGCGTTGCACACAAAGATTTTGAGAAATGTGATTTTTCAAAGGATTTTACACAACATATCCAAAAGTTGAAGTGGGCGACATTACTTACAGAAAAATATCCAAAGAAAAGAGTCATCTGAGGCTTTTACTGTTTAAAACTGAGAAATGTACCAAACTTATGATATCATATTTTCAGAATGGCCCTCCTTCATGCCATATTCCTTTATGATTTATTACATTCATAAACTCAACTCATAATTGCTTAACATTTTGTAAACTTAAATTTTAGGGCTCAATAGATATCCCAAACCGTACCTTATTCTTTCGGTTATGTTGTTATATTATTATGTTATTATTATATTATTATCTGAAATTTTAAATGTTTCTGCGAACGCAGTTTCATCAAAGATGCGGCATTCAATGTCTTATTTGTTCAATACCAGACTATATAAAACAATTATCGACTCTTTATGTGGTTGGTATATTTTAAAATTCACCAGGCTTCCCTTTGGTGATATCACTTTATATCCGCCACCCAAAGAGTCCATAACTGTATATGATGATATGCTCTTAAATACGCAAGGTAATTGTATTCCGTCAAGACCTCAATGTGTAAGACTCAAAAATAATAATTTGGGAAAATGTAGACTGTACTCTGAATTAGACTTTTAAGAGATTGTTCAAAGGTTAGCTGCTAACACAAATGAAAGAAATAATTGTTCAATGGTTCGGAAGTCACTTTTTCAATCTCCAATCTTCAAGGTTGAAGGTAAAAAGGAACCCGATGTTTTGACGTTGAAAGAGACTTTATCGCCTTATTAGGATGAATTACAGAACAAATAACATTTGAAGAAGTGACTGCTGTCTTATATATTTCAAAAGCTTTATAATAACCTACTTTAGTAATTTTATTTGAAATTTATTGCTGTGATTAACAATGATATGAGTTCTGTAAATACATAAATAAATTAGGGACTTTAATATTTTTATTGTTAATGGCATGTATTCTTGTAGCCCACTTGTGTTTATATCATTTTTCAAAACAGTTAAAATGATATGAAACAATCATGGAGAAAATATATAATAATTCGAAAAACGTATATCTACACTGAGTTTAAAAGGGAAACTATATTTTAGAGATGCATGATTTAAACATGATATGTTCAACTACTATTTTTAATGTTTGCCCAATTTGGCAGCTCACGTACTATCCTTAATCCGAAAAAAAAAAAAAAAATAATGGAACTCTTCAAAAATATTATGACGTTAGAGGCTTATATCGGTATTAAGCTTTAAAAATAATTAAATATTTATTTACATTGTACATCCCCGACTTTCAATATTCATATACTGAAATCTTCTCGTGTTTTCATACAAACCATGAAAGCTTCCTACTATATCCAGATATACATGTATATTTAATTTCACCTCCGTTTCAGTTCATGAGTTTTTATGTCTCTTCTCCTTAAATTTTTTAGACATTGAAATTATGTTGGTAAGGTCGCACTTTAATTCATATCAAGATATCAATGGGATTTGTATTCACAAATTTTTCTGCTATAAACAACAATAAAAAATCTGGCATTTTGGACATATGTTTTATATAGAGATATGTCTCTGAAGCATAAGACCCCAACATTCTGAAATTGTCATTTATTATTGTAATTTATTAATATCAGAAAATAGAAACCAATGCTGCAATTTACATCTTACATAAAATTTCTTAATCTGGGCTTAAGTTATCTCCAAATAAACTCTGGTTCGTCTCTAGTTCTTTTAATTTGTGACTATACACATAGATAAATAAATAGATCAGCCCTACAATACATGTAAAAATAATAAATAGTTCATAACGTTAACATTAGGTATATTTTTTTTTTATCACAAATTATTCAATTAGCATAAAATCTATATCACACTGCTATTCTTTTTGATTTACGCATTATCACTTCATAACTTGCAATTAAAGGGGAAAAAACTCATAATTTCTTTATAAGCATAAAACTTAGCTAAATTTATATAATTTACCAAAATATTTACACGAAATAATATAATAATCATTATATTTATATTTATCCCGTGTTTACCCCTTTATCCCGTGGATATGACTCATTGGATATTTTTTTCGTAACCCACAGTTAAGTGCAGTTGTGACGTCACAATGGTTTTTGCGTTAGCGTGATGAAGTAAAATTAAGTGGAGTCCTATATAAAACAGTGTAAAACATTGGTTGTGAAGAATTATACGTGGGATAAAAAGAATCTCCCATGATTTGTAGTTGGATATGATTTTTACCCAACTCGTTGTGTGTTTTTATCCCCTCGCCAAGGCTCGGGGATAAAAAAACCCACACAACTCGTTGGATAAAAATCATATCCAACTACAAATCATGGGAGATCCTATATATATCAAGTTGTGGACTCAGGCTGGGTATATGCATTCAGGTGTTACAATTTCTGTTACGTTTGTTGTAATGGCAATAGATTCAGAATCTATCTGGTATTATCAATTAAACATGTCGTTGAGACAGTGCTGTATTAAAAACACGTGTTGTTTTAACTCGTTTATTTAACTAACAGAGAAAATCAAAACATGCACAGAAATGTAATTTCCGGATTACTTAAACATGCACAGAAGTATTATTTCCGGATTACTCAATACGAAGTAACATACACTACACTCCTCCCTGACTAGTAGAAGGATCACCATGAAAACAAAAATGAAATTGATTAATGTAGCAAACAGTTCAATCAAATACAACTAAAAATTACTTCACACAAAATGAACTTTACAGAAACATGAGAAAGGTTCATCTCAGTAAATGATCATTTCCAGATTATGGATAAGCTCCCAAATTCAGTCTGTCCGGCTTATTACGAGTTCTTGGCGGATTTCGACGTGGCACTGTTACTGGTGTACTGGTCTCTTCGTCCTTCGCGCATTCCTGGGTTTTGTCGGTAGGACATGGGACCTTCACGGATGGCACAAACAGAATATCCACTGGAGTTGGATATGCGGCTTGATTTTTGGATGTATGAACTATTTGGTCAATATGCCTCCTCCAAAGAGATCCATTTACATCGACCTTGTAAGATAAAGGTCCAGTGCGTGAATGGATTCGTCCATTTGCCCATTTGTCCGAGTTAGTGCGATAATCACGCGTGTTTACTGAGTCCCCATCAGCAAATTCTCGAATCACGTTTCCACAGTGTTTTGCCTTTGAGCCATATTGTTTTTGCAGTACTGTACTGGTTAAATCCGGTTTCATAATGTCCAATCGGGTACGTATATTACGGCCATACATTAGAATAGACGGTGATTCATTAGTTGTTCCTTGTGGTGTGATTCTGTATTTGCATAGAAATGAGTTTAGTTTCTTGTTTATGCAAGCTGATTCTCCTTAGGCAGATTTGATTGCTTTTTTAAATGACTGAACGAACCTCTCAGCTTGGCCATTCGTCCGCGGGTGGAATGGAGAAGAGGTTATGTGTCTGATGGCATTCGACTCCATAAACTGACGAAATTCCTCTGAGCGAAATTGAGGTCCATTATCGGACACTATTTCTGCAGGTATTCCCTGTCGTGCAAACAAGGTTCGTAAGGTGTTAATTGTTGCATGCTTGTGGTACTCCTCATTTCAAAGATTTCCGGCCATTTCGAGTATGCATCCACAACAATGAGAAACATGGCATTGTGAAAAGGTCCGGCAAAATCTATGTGTAAGCGATGCCATGCCTTTGGCGGGAAATTCCATGGGTGAACAGGTGCAGCAGAAGGCGTATTCTGCACACGTTTACAACCAGAACAAGCCTTGCAGACTTCCTCAATTGCTTCGTCAACTTTGGGCCACCATACATATGATCTGGCTACTGCCTTCATTTTGACAATACCTATGTGGCCAGAATGAAGCTCTGTCATTACTTTCTCACGCAGAATGTCTGGGATGATCACACGATTTCCCCATGTAACACATCCTTGATAAACATTGAGTTCTTCTCTGCGATTGTAGTACGGCTTTAACTGTTCATCACAATCATGAGGAAAATGTCCTCGGACCACATAGTCCAAAACTTGACTCAGAACTGGGTCACGTTGTGTTTCCCTACGAATTTGCACACAAGTTACAGGTAAGTCATCGAAATGTCTGTTGTAGAACAAATCAATGGGATCCTTTTCATCCTGTGGTTGATTAATACTGGGTAGTGGTACACGCGACAGTGCGTCAGCATTACCATGAGAGGAATACAGCATAGCGCTGAAGACGTACTGCTGTCATCACAGGAAGGGACTTCTTTGGATTGAAAATGCTAAGAAGAGGTTTGTGGTCTGTGACAAGTGTAAATTTATGTCCATAAAGGTATGAATTGAACTTTCTAACACCCCAATAGAGAGCAAGGGCCTCTTTGTCAATTTGTGAATAAGCCTTCTCTGCTTGGTTTAATGTGCGCGACGCAAATGCTATAGGTCTTTCGGAGCCATCTGGGAACACATGAGAAAGTACAGATCCGATCCCATACGGTGAAGCATCTGCAGCTAGTTTCAAAGGTAGTTTGGCATCATAATGGCACAAAACCTTGTCAGAGCAAATCAACTCCTTGATTTCTTGGAAGGCTTTATCTCTCTTGGGACTCCATTCCCACTTGGTTCCTTTGTTGAGAAGTTCATGTAGTGGTCCTGCTACACTTGTCAGATTGTCTATAAATCGGTGATAATAGTTCACTAGACCTAAAAATGATCTAAGCTGTGACACATTCTCAGGGCGTTGGGCATCTCTTACAGCCTCAATTTTGTCAGGTGACTTGTGTAGGCCACGAGCATCAATTTCATGTCCAACATAGCTCACTTTAGCCTTAAAAAATTCACACTTCTGAAGATTCACATGTATAGTCCATAGGATTGTAGACGGTCCAGTACCAGTTTTAAGTTGTGTAAGTGCTCCTCGTCATCGCGACCAGTAACAATGATGTCATCAATGATCACTTGTGTTGATGGTATATTCTGTAATACTTGCTCGATTGCACGCTGCCATAGTGCTGGAGCGGATGCAATTCCGTACGGAAGTCGCTTGTATTTAAACAGGCCTTTATGGGTGTTTATGACGAGTAGATCCTGTGAATCTTCATCTAGTTCCATGTGGTGATATGCTTGTGTTAAGTCCAATTTTGAGAAATTCTTTCCACCAGCTAGGGTTGCGAAAATGTCCTCAATTTTGGGAAGAGGGTATTTGTCGACGCACATTACAGGATTGACAGTTACTTTGTAATCGCCGCACAGTCTAACGTTACCATTCTTCTTAATGGCTGGGACTATGGGGGTAGCCCATTTGCTATGTGCAACAGGCTCAATAATTCCATCTGCCTGTAATTGATCAAGTTCTTGCTCAACCTTGGTCCTCAGAGAGTAAGGAACGGTCCTAGCTTTAAGAAACACAGGTTTGGCTTCTGGATCAACTGTAACTGTTCCCTTAATGTGTTTAAGAGTTCCGACTCCAGGTGAAAACAACTCCTTGTGCGAGTTAAGCATATCCTTCAATGGTGACTGATTTGTTGAATTACTTGACCGTAAAGTCTTTATCTCCTGCCAGTTGAGCTGTAGCTTTCCAAGCCAGTCTCTTCCTAGTAAAGCTGGTCCATCATGTGGAACAACAAGTAATTCAAGGTTAGCAGATTGTGAGTTGAGTTTAACATTCACCTTCATCTTGCCCACAGGTTGAATCATGTCTCCTGAATATGCACGCAGTAATTCACTGGATGGTTCAAGGTTTACCTTGCTAAAGTTTGCACTGTAGTCACTCTTGGAAATCACGGAAACAGCTGTTCCTGTATCGACTTCCATCTTGATGACTTTGCCTTCAATAATTGGTTCCACAGTTATTGGTGGTTCATGATGTGATTTCATGTGGAAAGTGCTTGTGATGTGTAGAAGTGGTTCTCCATCACCCTCCTTGTAGCGTTCTTCAGAGTGAAATTCCTCCTCATTATAGAATAGGGAAGTGTTACGTCCCTTGTTTCTGTCACGTTTCTTTTTCATGCAGGCTCGCTCAATATGTCCCACCTTCCGACAGAAAGAACAAACAGTGTTAGTGTGTCGACACTGTGATGCTGGATGATCACCATCACAACGATAGCATGAAGGTTTCTGTATTGTTGGTCGTGCATGAGATTGAGCGTTTGTGTTTCTCACAGTAGGTTTCTTGTTGAATTGACGTGGTTTAGGACGTGTGCTGATTTTGTTAACTGTCTCACTCTTTACCCCCTGTACTTCAGCTGCATCTCTAGCTGCCGTTTCCATAGCAACAGCAAGGTTGATTGCTTTCTCCAGGTCAAGGTCTTTCTCTGAGAGTAGCCTCTTTTGTATGGTTTCTTGGCGTAAACCAACCACTAGTCTGTCACGTAATGTGTCACTCAGGGCTGCCTCAAATTGACAATGTGTTGCCAGATTACGGAGCTCTGCTACGTACGACAAAACCGACTCATCTGGGCGTTGATTGCGCTTATGAAATCGGAACCGCTCGGCAATCACCGAGGGTTTGGGGCTCAAATGCTCACGTAGTGCCTTCAAAAGGTCCTTTATGCCTTTGTCTGTAGCCTTAGCTGGGGCAATTAAGTTTTTCAAAAGTGTGTAAGTTTTTGGACCAATTAAACTTATCAAGGCAGGAACTTTGTGGTTATTATCAATGTCATTTGCGAGAAAAAATGCCTGTAATCTCTCCTCGTATGACTCCCATGATTCAACCGAGTCGTCAAATTGTTCTATTTTACCGATGTGTGGCATTGTAAACAAATGAAAGTAGGTCAATCACGTACTTACTCCTCGTCGCCAGTTGTTACGTTTGTTGTAATGGCAATAGATTCAGAATCTATCTGGTATTATCAATTAAACATGTCGTTGAGACAGTGCTGTATTAAAAACACGTGTTGTTTTTAACTCGTTTATTTAACTAACAGAGAAAATCAAAACATGCACAGAAATGTAATTTCCGGATTACTTAAACATGCACAGAAGTATTATTTCCGGATTACTCAATACGAAGTAACATACACTACAATTTCTCTATCTGAACCTGCACAATACAACATATAGTTGTATTTACTTATAATACAATACACAAAATTTACATTTCAGGTCATATCTAATTATAATTTATCAATGTAACTTTTAAATAGATCACTAAATTATTAACTCAAATCATTTACTAATACAGTATATCTTTTCCATTTATTAATCAAATACTATTTCATTCATACTCATTCTTCAACTAAACAAGTTATATATCAACAAGTGATATATCAAACTAGTTCACAAACTGATGAATGCACTAAAGAGTTCTAACTATGAAAAGATAACTCTAAATCTAAAATAAGTAGTACCATGTAGTGAAGGTTAGTAAATGAAATTGTCAGACTACAATTTAATTTTTAATTTATATTTATTATTTTATGGCAGTATTTTTATTCATAAAATTAATCTATACTTAATTTATCAACAGTTTAAATCATAACTAAAAATCCATTATTACAATAGACTAACATCTACAGATTGATTAAATTGATTTTATAACAAACTGCCTATGAAAAATAGACTGACTAGTTTTATGACACAAATTAGCTCAGCCAATAATACTGTTAATAAAAACAGTAATTCTGTTTGAAATGAAATTTAAGGTGCAAAACGATTTATATGTGTGTTGCAAACTTACATATGACCTGATTGACTTTGCCTTTCAACATGATCAGATCACATCATTTGCTAATTATAAATTATTTAATTGATCTGTAGTTTACAATTTGTGTATTTTTTTCCACTTCAAGAAGTTTGTTTAGTTCTTACGGGTTTTTGGTTAAGATCATGTAGTCTGGCCAGTGTAGCACTGTGGATTTCAGGGTGATATAAATATGTAAGTGATTGATGGTAGGAATACAGAGCAGACTGGACATCTCCCATCATCTCTTGACAGAAACCAAGGATGTGCCATGATATACCTCTCAGATTTCTAGTGATATACACACCCTCATCTCGATGGACAATAACGTGTAAATCATTTAGAGCTCCTTCTGTTTTCCCTGTGTCAGTGTGTCTGTAAATCAGAAACTCTAACATTTGTAATAATACGGGAAATCGAATAATTATTGTGTGAACTCCGTATAGTAAGGCGGATTGCTGTTCCAGTAGTAACTCATCAATGTAATAGATACCACCCTGAAGACAACACGCTTCTTCTACAGCGTATCTCATCTTTTGATACGTAGAAAACCCCTTGACAGCCTCAGAGTACCCCTTTGTGTCTGCGTTAAACTCAGATGTCAGATGTGGCTGTGCTAACCTATCCTTTGTGATTTTAATAATACGTAAAGCCTCTGTATATCTCATTGTTCGGTAATAATACATTGCAATATATATCATGTCAGAAATGAATCCAAATTTAGCTGCTAATTTCAACATGTGACAGATCTTTTTATCAGCAGAATAGGATAGTTTGTTGACAACTGTGTTGCTGTACATATTAGCTACTATGAAAGCAGAACTTTGAAGGAGGGATGCTGTATATTTCTGTAACATGACAACTTGACACTGGGTCAATTTTTGACATAGGAACTGTTCTATCCTGTAAATAGTCTTCAGGCAAAGATGTATCTTGGGTTTAGCTATAAACAGATATACATGATCTGTCTCTAAAAAAACAGCTTTATCAAATTCGACCTCAGTTATTATAGCTTGAAGAGTTGATTTTGAATTGCTAATAGCAAGTGAGATAAAAGGCCAGACTGAAGAACTAAGAAGGAGGCATGATAATCCCATCTGGTACAGTGCGTATAGTTTACGGAACAAGTTCTTCTGCGCTTGACCATAAATATTAGTCAGAAACATATTATTTTGTGGAATGAAAAAGTTAGGACAGATCCCATCATATACCCATTTCAGAATGAATTTAAAGCAAATCCAAAAACACTGAAGTAGATCTTGAGGATTGCAGTAGAGTAGATAATTTTGTTGAATAGCCCAGAATACAGCTGTTTTCATGTGATAGGAACACAGTAATTTTCCCTCATCACTTTCACCATTATTAATTACCTCTTTCAGAAATATCTTAAGTAATCCATAAATTAAAAATTGACAGTGATCCATAGAGTACACCAGTTTTTGTTCTGCTAGAGAAAAGGAAATTCTCCATTCAATGTCTTCATGATTTCCAAGTTTGTGTCCAATTGCTACAAAGTGACACCCACTACTGACTATTTCTCGAACAACTCCTGGCCGTGGCCATGTTGTACATCGATCTATCCAAGACAATGCAGAAGGAGGCCAGAGGTTTGAGGCAAAGCAATGGGCTATGTCAATCTCCGTTCCCCCTGAACTGTAGCTATTACAAGGACCGTGGGGGATGGAATTCTTTGGTGTATTAGATCTCATAATCTCTCTGTAAAGAGAACTAGATATGTAAAGTCTGTCTTTGATTCTGACAGTTGCCGAGATAACTTCTGGGATTGTTAATACAAGTCCTATCGGTAACCAAAGTATTGTGAATCCTGGTGGGCTTTCTGAATTGTCAGATAGAATCAGTGAATCGTGTTCGCTGTAGAACCTAGCCTGTGAGAAATTCCAAATAACACGATGATTTTCCAGCCAGCGCATGACGTCTATATCAGACTCTTCGAATCTAAATCCTTCTCTGTAACTTCCCGTGCACAAAACAGTATCTTGATTAGCTGATCTTACTTGTTCCTCTATTATGTGTATAATATTTATTGTATCTCTTCTCATGATAATCACCTCTGGTGGACCGATCTTTTGATTCAAAGCAGCATAGGTGAATTCTGAAATTTGTTGTAAACGTTTCCCACTGCGAAGAAAATTATTACAATGTTTTGTTATAATTCTTTGAATTTCATTAGAATTGTACGAATTAATAGTGGCCTTCAATATGATCAAACTAATTTCATTACAGGTATACTTACATGTCCATGTTTGATGATCTGCTTGAAGGCTATCATCGATGCCAACAGTGATTTTATTATTTTTTTTAATTGATATACAAGCTAGTATTTGATTTAATAAGCTTGTCGTGGATTTATTTTTATGGTTTAACCTAAATAAATCTCCACAATATTTTAATATAGCATTGGATGCTATTTAGATTTTAAAGGTGGACCCAGAAAAAAACCAATTACTGAAGAGGAAGTTTGAAAATATTTCTATCCTTATTTTGATAAATTAAAAAAAAGAAGAAGAAAAAAACATAGTCAGAAAATGTGTCAGCTAAAACAGAACATTTTAAACATTAATTGATAAGTTTTCCATTATGAATAATCAAACATATAATAATAATAATAATAATAATAATAATAATAATAATAATAATAATAATAATAACATAAAATTTATTTATATTTACTTCTGCCATTATTCAAATTAGTTTACATTCCTCTCTTCACTTTAATACTTTATATCTTTTCAGTCAGTATCATTGAATAAAATAAATTTGACGAAAAATTGTTATCCTTATTAGTAAAAGATCCCAACACCTTAATATAATAAACCTCAATCAATGTTTCAATTCTAACATTCAAAGCTTGTCTTCTTCATTAAATGATACTTCTACTGACAAAGTTTTTCTTTTATCAACACAGTAAGTAAGTCAATATATATATATATATATATATATATATATATATATATATATATATATATATATATATATATATATATATATATATATATATATATATATATATATATATATATATATATATATAATTTATTACACGTATTGAAATTGAAATCTGAACAGTATACTGTTACGACTACCTTGCCTTTTGTAAGACGACCGGTTCCTCAGTTGGAGCTACTATAAATACACGTTTCATTTGTTAAAATTATACTTTTCTACATTTAAATCAATTATTTATTTCAAACATTGACAAATTGACAAATATCAAATGGAATTTCTTATTGTACACCTACAAAAGTCTTCATACAATTTTACTTCCAGTATAAGTAACCTTTCATGAGAGTAGGATAATGCATATTTAAAATAAAACAGATTTTATTTATTTTATCGAATAATCGAATATATTCGAATACTTTCATTGAATATTCGAATATGAATTATTGTCAAACTTGACATTCTTAATACATATAATTATATATTATATACATTTTCAACAGTGAAATACCGTAATTTATTTTATTAAATAAAAGTGATATTCTGTCAGAATATCAGAAACTCTTGATTATACTTCCCTTCACGAAGAATGTTGAAAAAAATCCTGACAGAGACTAAAAATGCCCAAGTTTCTCCAAATTTGTTGTTGAAATCATGTTTACAATGTTTTCAATCTTACAGTCGCTATAAAAATGACGTCTCAACCGCTCAACTATGACGTCACAACGTAGGACACTGTGTTACGAAAAGACAAAGGGAAAATCAAAGAAAATATAATAAACAGAAAATTCAATATTTTGTAGTTGAGTATGGAATTTATTTCACTCTTACGACAGGATTTTTTAATATTTTATTTATATCTCTATATAATTTATCAGGAAAATGAAAGTCAAGTATATGATTAAGAATAAAATAAATAAAAATAACACAAAAAAGGGAGGGGGGGCTTTACGAAAGTACAGGTACAGATACATGTAAGTGTAGGAGTTAATTTTACGTGGTTTATTGAAATTCACTACAAGTAGACATTTCTCTATATCGTAATGAATTCTCTTCGTTACATCACGTTAGCAGTAATACAGTAATATTATGACTCCTTGACATAGCTAAT